GTAAATTTGGCTGCTAATCCTCAAAAGGATGTCTAGCTCTAACACACAGTCCTTTTATTTTATTTTTTTCATTTTTTATTTGTATTTTTTTTCTTTTGGGTCACACCCGGTGATGCTCTGGGATTACTCCTGGCTCTGCACTCAGATATTACTTCTGGAGGTGTTCAGGGTACCGTATGGGATGCTGAGGATCGAACTTGGGTCGGCCACATGCTAGGCAAATGCCCTACCTGCTGTACTATCACTCTCATTCCAGCCCCTAAACTGTTTTTTTTTTAATTTGCTTTTTTTTTGGATCATATCCGGTGATGCTCAGGGGTTACTCCTGGCTTTGCATTCAGGAAGTATTCCTGGCTGTCCTAGGGGAACCACATCGGATACCGGGGATCCAACCCGGGTCGGCTGCATGCAAGGCAAATGCCTACCTGCTGTACTGTGGCTCGGGGCCCCACACACAACCTTTTTAGAATCTTTGGTACATTTACACAGTGGAGTACTATGTAGCGGTTAGAACAGATGAAGTCATGAAATTTACATACAAGTGGTACTACATGGAAAGTATCATGTTAAGTGAAATGAGCCAGAAAGAGACATAGAACGATTGCTTTCATCTGGTGAACATAAAGGAACAAAATAGGAGACTAACACCCAAGAATGGCTGAGATTAGTACGAGGAATTTTGCTCCATGTCTTGGAGGCCAGCCACACGTGCTAGGTGAAAAGGCAGCTCAGATAGAGAAAGGAGCACCAAATAAAGGGTGTTGGGAGGATCCTCCCAGGATGGGAGAAGCATGCTGAAAGTAGACTCTAGACCAAACATGACTGTCACCCATTGCCTCTTTTGCAAAACACAGGACCCAAAAGGAGAGCGAGAACAGAGGGGAATGCCCTGTCACAGAGGCAGGGTGGGATGGGGGGGATGGGGGGGTGGGAGGGATACTGGGATCCATGGTGGTGGAAAATGGGCACTGGTGGAGGGATGGGTATTTGATCATTGTATAATTGAAACCCAAGCACAAAATTTGTAAATCTATAAATGAAATGTACCTCATGGTGTCACACTAATAAAAAAAAAATCCTGCTTGGAGGCTGGAGATTTAGCAAAAGAGTTGAGGTGCTAGCCTTGCACACTGCTGGCTTGAGATTCCATCATCACCAGCACTTCATCTGATTCCCCAGGACTGATCCTTGGAGCACAGAGCCAGGAGTCAGCCCTGAGCACAGCCAGGTAGAGTATCAATCCCACACCAAGAAAAAGAGAGGGGAAAAAAAGTTCAACTTGGGCGCTGGAGGTAACAGAAGAGGAAAGGCGCTTGCCTAGCCTGCAGCCCACCCCTGCACAGGAGACAGAGCTGGGAGGAGCTGTGGATTCAGATCACTTGCAAGGCGTGCACTTTTCTGACCCAGCTGCTGATTTCACTGTGAACTTAAACCGCGTGTCCCCAGGGACACAGGGGCGCTAACGCCTTTGCCTGGGGAGCGCCCCTGGCAGCATCCAGAGTGAAATCTACGAAGAGGCGCAAGGTGCTCTAAGGCAGGTGGAGAGTCATTGCATCAGATCTGAGCAAATGTGGCAGAGACTTTGCAAGACTCCGACCAAATGTGGCTCTTTATTTCAGATCCGTGAGACCGCCAGGTAGATTTTCTCCAGCGTTACAAACAGTTGTTTTATTTCCGACTGATTCACCACTGATGAATTTTATCAAAGGCTTCATCCTGGAGACTTGATTTCCGGACTCGCCTGTGTCTTGGCGTGTAAATAAAGGAGACCTGCCATCCCCTAGTGGAGGATGGGGATACTTGAACAGGGCAGATTGGTTCTGTCACTAACCCTGATTGACTGTAGGACCTTGGGTAAGTCATTCATTGCCCAGGTTGTCTAATTGTAAAATGGAAATAAAAACACTTCCTGCCAGCAGGGAGGGTTAAATGAGATAGGCTGAATTCTTTAGGAACCCACAGGAGAAAAAGGCTCTATAGCAGTAAGCAAAGGGCTGCTTGGTCCCATTGGCCTTTTATTGTCATTGTCACTGTCCTCCCATTGTTCATCGATTTGCTCAAGCAGGCCCAGTAACGTCTCCATTGTGACACTTGTTACTGTGTTTGGCATATCCGATACGTCACGAGTAGCTTGCCAGGCTTTGCTGTGTGGAAGAGATACTCTTGGTAGCTTGCCGGGCTCTCCGTGAATGGTGGAGGAATCGAACCCAGGTCACCGCGTGCAAGGCAAACTCCCTACCGACTGTGCTATTGCTCCAGCACTGGCCGTTTTTTTTTTTTTTTTAAATAGCATGGCAAAGAAACCCACAGCAATGAAACCCTGGGGTTGTAAGCTCACTAGTCCTAAAAAACAGGACCCCCACACACACCTCTTCCCACAGACTGTTGCTGCCTCTTGCACAGCTGGAGAGTTTGCAACTGGGAAGGTTAGTAACTGAAGAAGGTTCCTGAATTTGTTCGCGCCAAGTACTCACCTTTGCTCTACCACGAACAGTGAGTCTGTGGGACCTAATTCCTGTTGGGTTGTCTCTATCTCCTGCAAGATACTGGATAACCATGTTACAAATCAGACGCGGTCAAATATATGAATTGATGACTGTTTATTATGTCAAATAAATACCTACAGTCAGACGTTTAACATGGTGCGAGTGTTTTTTTTTTCCCCTAAAAAATCAAAGCTCCTTGTGCAAGAGAGTGTGGGTACCGAGGTACACTTGATGAAAAGATTCATATCTTTTTTTTATGTAGGAGTATTGCTATCCATTCAGCAACTGATTAGCTTGTTGAATTGGGCATGAACTCCACCTTACTTTTTTTTTCTGTTTTTTATAATTTTATTTATTGAATCACCGTGAGAGCAGTTACAAAGCTTTTGTGTTTAAGTCTTGGTCATACAATGAAACATCCGTCCCTTCACCAGTGTCCATTCTCCACACCCCAGATTCATATCTTAAAACGCTGCGGGCGAGGGGTGAGCTCAGAGACTTGAAACTCTTTTTGAAAAGGAGTTTAGTGCCTCGGACAACGCCTTTACCATTCGTCTGAGGGACCGCGAGGGGGCGCTGTGAGTCCGCTTTGGTGCGAGCCGTGGGTTCCGCGCGGACACTGGGCGCCCGGGCGCTTGGAAACCCTAGCCCGGCCAGGGCCAAGGGCGGCGCGAGCCACCGGGGCGGGCGCCAGCAGCTGCCCCACGTCTCTTGGCGCTCACTCGGGCCATCTCCAGCCCAACAGGTGCCTGGCAGTTCTCAAGGGGAGGCGCGAGCCCCGGGGCCTGGGAACCCGCATCCCTCGCCCTCCCTCGAGAACGGTAGGGACTAGCTTGGATGCTTCCACGTGGGGTCCGTGCCCGGGTCACAGGGGCCAAAGCTGACATCTGATTCTTTTAAGAGATCCGTGTCCCCCCCCCACCCCCAAGAGACCACACACTTCTGATTTGGGGAAAGAAGGGGGACCCCCTCCCCCAAGCAAATGTGCAAAAAAAAAAAAAGACTACAACGTGATAGCTCCCAAAGGGTGCCATGCCCCACTGGGGACCCCCACCCCCGGGAAAAGGACCCTTGGGCGCAAGGTCTGAGATGACTCAAGTGGGAAGTTGAAAAGAGAGAAGAAGGGGGGTGCGCGTGGGGAAGGGCGCGGAGTGTCGGAGGGGCCTGGCTCGACCTCTAATTCTCTTCGCTCCTAATACTCGGGTTACTTAAGGGAAAACGTAGGCTAGGTCTCTGGGGTGCGCACCCCGAGAGGTGGCTCCGACTTTGGCCACGAAGCCCCCTCTATTTCTGTCTGTTCGGCGGAGTGGCCGGGTCCACGCGGGACGCGCAGAACTCCGCGCCTGCGAGTGTCCCGGGTGTGTGTGTGTGTGTGTGTGTGTGTGTGTGTGTGTGTGTGTGTGTGTGTGTGTTGGGGGGTGGGTGTCCGGTCGCCTGGGGAGGAGTGGGGGCGCCCCGTGAGGATGCAGGGTGGGAGGGCGGGACGGGCTCTCGAGAGCACCGTTGGGGAAAGAGGGTAGGCGCGGGTGGCACGCAGCCGCCAGGAGCAAAGTACAACCCTTCGTAAACTTTCCCAGACCTGGGTCCGAGGACGAGAGCCAGGCTGACGACGCGCCCCCTCCGCCCACCCCCCAGCCCCCCACCGTAGACGTTCCCCGCCGCCCAGCGAGGAGGAGACGCACGCCCGCCCCCAAATCGCGCCCACCCGCCGCCGCTCTCCAAAACGCCGGCGCTCCGCGCGGCGTGCGGGCATCCTGGGAAGCGGCCAGCCCCGCGGCGGGGAAGAACGGGGCAGGCCACGCAGACGGCCACGGTCACGGGAAACTTGACCGTCCGCCCGGCTCCACCGGCGGGGGCGACGATCGCGACGTGCCCTCGGCCACCAGCACCCCGCGAGCGGTCCCCGACTCCGGAGCTCTGAGCGCCCCCCACGCTTCCTTGCGGCGCGCGCGGCCGGAGCGGACGGGGGTGGGTGGGTGGGTTGGGGGGTGGAGAGAAGGGGCAAACGGCCCGCGCCCACCCGGGCAGCTGCTGAAGACGCCCCGTCTCCCGCCGCCTCCCCCCCCCCCCCCCCCCCGGGGGACCCCCGTGACTCGCCGTCGCCGAGACCCGGCGCTCCCGGGCGGCCGCGGGGCTGCGCCCACCCAACCGCCTGCCCACGGCGGGGGCGCCCGCTCGGACGCGGCGCGATGCTGCCAGGCGCGCCAGGACGGCGGGGCGAGGTCCGGGGCGGCGCGGCGCGGCGCTGACCCCCCGCGACCGGCCGAGCAGGGGTGTGCCCGGCCCCTCCCCGCCGCGCCCCTCCCCGCCGCGCGCCTCCCGCCGCCGCCAGTGCCCGGGCGCGCCGCGCTCGCTTGCTTGCTCGGGGAATTCTCCTGGCCGCGCCCGCCTGCCAACGGGCGTCTGCCGGCCGCGGCTCTCGGGACCCGACGCCAACTTTTCCCCCCCGCCGTTGGCCTGGGGCGCTCGCGGAGCACCGGGAAGTCAAAAAGTTCCCCGGCCGAGGAGGGGGCCACCATGTGCACCAACATAGTTTACGAGTGGCTGAAAGCGCTGCAGCTCCCGCAGTACGCGGAGTCCTTCGTGGATAACGGCTACGATGACCTGGAGGTGTGCAAGCAGATCGGGGACCCGGACCTGGATGCCATCGGGGTGTTGGCGCCCGCGCACCGCCGCCGCATCCTGGAGGCCGTGCGCCGGCTGCGGGAGCAGGACGCGGCGGCCGCCGGCCTCTACTTCACGCTCGAGCCGCAGCCGCCCGCCGTGCCCCGTGTCCGCCGGGGGGAGCCGTGCGGGGAGCCGGCGACGCACGCACCCCGTGGGGACCCCCGCGGCCAGACCCCCGCCCCGCCGCGCGCCAGGGAGTTGGTGAGCTACCCCAAGCTGAAGCTGAAGATCATGATCAGGGATAAGCTGGCCCGCGACGGCATCCACTTGAGCAAGCCCCCGTACTCCCGCAAGGTAAGGGGGGACGCCGCCCGCGGGACGCGGGGATGCGACCACGCACGCACGCGTCGCTGGCAGGGGACTCCCCGGAGCTTGGGATGGGGGGAGAGGCCAGCGGGCTCTAGATGTGTGTGTGTGTGTGGGGGGGGGGGGTTCTCTTCTGTTCTCTCTGCACTGGCTCTTTATTCCTCTCTCGCCCGCTTCTTTGGTGGTGGGTCCCCGCGAGTCCCCCCATCCTGGGTTCATTCTCGTCCAGGACAGGCGCGGGACGACGCGCTCCCCCTCCGTGTCGGGGCGAGTTGTGTGCGTGTGCGCGGAGTTGTGCGAAGGGCCAGGAGCAGGGCTCCTACCCACGGGACAAGGCAAATCCGCCTCCTTTTAAGACCAACCCAAGGGAAATCAGGTAACTCAGGTGATGAAACACGCCCCCGGCCGCTCCTGGTTGCACAGGGGAGCGCCAGCGCCCCGGATGGGGCGTTCTGTTGTGAAAGCGCTGTGGCGGTTCACTTGGGTAAAGTTGCTTCCACTTCAATCTCAGGGTGCAGCGGTGAGCAGGATGCCCAGATAGAGCCCTTCCAGAGAAGCCGCCTTGGTATTCATCCAAATGAAGCGGGCACCGTTGTGATTTCTAGAGTCCAGGCGGGTTGGCATTTGGGAGAGGACAGTGGTGGATGAGGAATTGCCGGGACAGGCTGAGGGAAAACACCCAAGTTCTGTGCCTCCGAGGAAGGCGGATCTGCGGGTTTGGGTGCAGGAGAACTAAAAAAAAAAAAAAAAAAAAAAAAAAAAAAAGTCCCAGTTTCTTCTCACGGGAGGACATAGGATGGAGAGCTTGCAGGTCATTCTCAAGCCTACCTGGGAGTGTCCAGGAACATGGTGCCTTCCCTCAGTGAGGGGATGAAGACCTGGAGGGAAGGTGGCAGAGATGCTGATGGAGGTGCAGCATTACCCCCTCTGGGGAAATGTGGGTGCTCGCTCAAAACGTTTGCCCACATTTCTGGGGCACTCACATTATTGTCTGCTTATAAGGAACGTTCAAGCAGAAAACTTTGTTAGAGTGGAGATCGGATCCGCCTGATGGGTGGGAAGATGGGTTTGAATGTGACCCAGATGGGATCTTGTGAGAGGATTGAGATAAACTGTTGTTGAGTACCCTATTGGTTCCCAAAGCCTGCATGTCCAGGGTGTTTGGTTGGCTTGCATTTAGGGGCATGGACCAGCTGCCCCCGACACTGTGGTCTAGGTCAGTGTCCCCAAGTGAGGTGCTGGGGTTCTTGGGCAGGTAGAGAGAGTATTAGAGTGTGTGTCACATGGCTGGAGGACTCGGCCAGCGGGGTGAAGGCCTCTATTACCTGATGACCACAGGTGGAAGGAACGGAACACAGAGGGCTTCTGGGATGCCACAGCTCAGGCAGTGTGGTAGGCTTAGGCGGAGAGAACATCTGTGCCTCTAGCCCTGACCAGAGAGGAGTTAGGGAGCAAGAGATGTCACTGAGTTGGCTTGTTCCTTATCGAAGAGCTGGGTCATAGGGTCCAGAAGGCAGTAGAAGGTGCGGGCAGGAGAGAGCAGAGGACAGGTGGGGACCCACCTGACATTTGACTCAGGTCTAAATAGCAAGCATGGAGGTTGTGAGGGGGTGGGTGCTGGGTGTGAAAGGATGGGGCATATCTGAGCATTGTCTTTGGACTGTGTTCTCCTGCCTGGATCAGGGGGTGTGCAAGTGGGGGTGTCCTGGAATAAGTGCAACGTCCGAGAAAATCTTCAGCTCTTGTAGAAACCGCTTAATTTCCATAGAAAAGAATAGCTTTGGTCTATGTAAATTTCATAATGATCATATTTGCTAAGAAAGATATACCCCAGGTCCCTTTTTGTAAATGCATTTTCCTTTTTGAATTAATGGAAGAGATACTTCGGGGCAGCTAAAAGCAAAAATTGTCTTCCATACTTTACCAATGTTTTGACCCAAAGACCCCAAAAATGCAACTGCGAAATTTAATTATAAAATACAAATCTTTGGCCCTATATCTCTGTGTGCGTTGCAAGGAAAACTGAACACACTGAAATATAAACTAAAATAAAGTTAATGTATCCTAAATGGGGTATCGGGTATGTAGGGCCAAGATCAGGTCACTCACTCTGAATTTGTTGTGTGCATTTGCCTCTTGGGTTTTTGGACTTTAAATTATTTAAGGGATTATTTTCTGATAAAACTAGCTTCTTTGCTGACAGTACCAGAAGTTCTTTAAGAAGAACTCATATCGTGTCTCTCGACCCTTTGGCTCTGTCTTGATTCAGAATGTGTCCTGCTCATCGCAGGCATTTTGGATGGTTTGGTTGAGTGTCTCACCTTCCCTTTTTATTCATTTTCATTTGTGTTGCTGATCCCTGTGATTTTTAATTTTGTTTTTTTACTCTTCTGAGACTGTTGAATGGCTTGAAGTGGATTATACTGAGGTGATCAGGACAGGAGTAGTGAGTCTTTGAGAGGACATTGAGTTGAAGGACCTTCTCAAGACTCATTGGAAAGGATTTATCGTGTATCATAGTGTTGGCGCTAGTGGCAGTTTCTGTGGTGCCAGTTCAGTTTCCACTCACCTCTACCTCCCTTAAAATGTTAAGTTACATGGAAGTTGCCCTGTTTTCCAAAGGAAACCTGTCGTTTTGGAGTCTCAGGAGCCCCGAGAGAGCCCTGTTTGAAATCCAAAGCCATCAAGACAAGGGCTGAACGTTCACTTCCCTGACTTCTGTGATTTCTATCAGAGCAGAATGGGGGTGTATACTACACAAGCAGTGCTGGACCAAGCTTTAGCTAATGCTACTTCATTTGTTCGTTAAATTTCTCTCTACCAGCCTTCTGCTTGGCTCCAGGAGACTGTGGTGACAGGCAACACCGAGTCCTGCCTGTCACAGTCACGGGATATCGGAGGGGAGACCTAAAATGAACAAATTGTGGCGAGTCAGTGTGTGATTCTCTGGAGGCAGAGAGCATGTGGGGAATAGGCGCATCCAACCTAGTTTGCAGGGACATAGAAGGCATGGTAGGCTTTTCCGAACTGGCATTTGGGCTGAGAGCTTCAGGTGGAAAGGCTTCAGCGTGAAGACCAGGGGAAGACAGAACCGTGTGTGCATACTGGAATTCTGGCTTGGGCAAGGTAGACAGTGAGGAGGCTTTTAAGGTGGGGGAAAGCGGGAGTAGGATAATGTGATTTCTGGTCGAAGTTTACAGTGCCAGGATGTAGGAGACAGCTTGTTTAGGGAGAAAGCTGTTGAGACACTCAAGCCTTCGGGTTGAGATGCACAGAGTGGCAATGGCCCACAGATATCCCAACCTAGTTAACTAGTTGGCACTTGGAGATATGACCGAGGATGGGGGGTGGGCAGAGAAGAGAAATCCAGGGGCAGAGAGAAACAAGGGAGTTACCGGCACACTGAAGTCAGGTGTGCCAGTGAGTAGTGGAGAGAGAGGAGAGATGGGGGCAGGATGGAAGCTTGAGAAGCTTCAGGACTTAGGAGAAGGGCAGAAGAAGGAGCCCCTCTAGGCAAGAGAGTAAAAGAGAGCACAGAGATAGGAGGTAAGGAGCTGGGAATGGCATTGCCTTAGTCTGTGGAACTTGAGAAGCTTGCGAGTAGAGGTGCCTTCACAGGGTCAGATGGGGCCACGCAGGATTCAGGCATGAAGGCAGCCCTGGAGAGCAGCCAGCAGGCAGGTAAATGTCTGAAACAGCAGCCTTGAGTGATCAAAGGGAGCTGCACAGGCCATTTCCGTTTTTGAAGACACTGGCTTTTGCAAAAGTCAGTTTTAGATTTGCAGCATAATTGAGAAGTCAAAGATCCCCAGGTTCCCACTGATGTGCCCACTGATGGCAGTCTCCTCCCAAGGTCAGCGCCCCCGCCCCCCCAGAATGGTGCATGTCTTACAATTGATGCATCTGCCTTGGCACCAGGGATCACCTGCATCTCTGAATCATGTTAGGGTTCCCTTTGGTGCTGTGTGTTTGGGTTTGGACAAATGCACCCGTCATTACGTTTTCCACAGGGCATTTTCACTGCCCTACATATCCTGACTCTCCATCTATTCATCCTTCCTCTAATCACCGGCAACTACTGACTGACTTACTGCTTTGTAGTTTTGCCTTTCCCAGAAGGTCCAGAGTTGGAATCACACACCGTGCAGCTTTCTCAGATTGGCTTCTTTCACTTAATAATGTGCATTTAAGTCTCCTCCATGTCTTTTTCTGGCTTGTTAGCTCATTTATTTTTAGCTCTGAACAATATTCCTTTGTCTGGCGGTGCCCCAGACATTTTTTAATGAAGTTGGATTGCAAAGACAGAACTAAGGTTACGGCAGAAGGGGACTTAGGGCCCAGGGAACAGTTTTGTGGGTTGTGTGTGTAAAGACAGAAGAAGTGGAGTATGAAAAAGCACTGGTAGAAAGGATCCCAGGGGTCAGTGAGGAGATCGGAGGGAACTGTGCTCAGCTCATTCTGGAGGGAAAGGTGAATTGACTTCCCCAGGGATGGAGAGTGGATGGGGGAGGCAACTAGGATCATGTAGGTGGAAAATTGAAGATTCTTCATTCCCCTACTGTCTGCCCATCAGATTCCAGTGAAGGAAGACCTGGAGGGATTGAAACTTAACAGAGAATACTGTGTAAACCTACTAATGTTAGGTCTTAGGTATATGCAATATCTTCATATACCAATGGTAGCACTGTAGCACTGTCCTCCCGTTGTTCATCGATTTGCTTGAGCAGGCACAAGTAACGTATCACAACAAATGGTGAGACTTGTTATGACTGATTTTGGCCTATCGAGTACGTCATGGAGAGCTTGCCAGGTTTTGCCATGCAGGCAAGATACACTCGGTAGCTTGTGGGGCTCTCCGAGAGGGGCGGAGGAATCGAACCCAGGTTAGCTGCGTGCAAAGCAAATGCCTTACCCGCAATAATATTTATATACTGTATATCACTGCACAGATTGGGAAAGTGCCCTGACTAGTCATATTTGTATACTGT